TCGGCAGAAGATAGGCGGAGGTGGGAACCCTGCCGTCAGCACCAGCATGGCGGGAGTGGGCGAGTGCCAGGCTGTACAGGATCTCTGCCCCCCTGCACACGGACAGAGTCACTGAGGGTCCCTGCTCCGGTGCCCCAACACTCTGGGCCGACCAGTGCCAGAACGGAGGGCAGAGGAGGAGCAGCCAGCCCAGCGTGCCCTGGCGCCTGGTGCCCAGCCCGTGTGCTTTCCATGCACAGGGGGCTGGCCTCGGGGAGGGCTGGCGGGCACTGGGAGAGGGCTTGTCATTGCCTGGGCCACCCCCAGCGTGCTGGGCGCAGTCTGGGGGACTGCGGGGCCCCTGGGTGCTGCCCGGTCAACCCTTGCCTGTGCCCCCTGCACAAAACCCCTGCCCCAGGCCCAGCCCGAGTCCCCTCACCGGAGGTGGGCCTCCAGCACCCGGTCCAGGCTCTTGTAGAAAGGCCGGGAGGGGTAGTAGCCTGTCCAGTAGTGATCCTCCCGGTCCGCCTAGGAGAAGAAATCCCCACTCAGCACTGGGAACCCAGGTGGCTTCATCCCCGGCACGATGCCCACCTTCTTGTACAGAGCGTCAAAGTAGTCAGAGAGTGTCCCAAACTGTGCCTGCAGGATGGCACACGCAGCTCTGAGTACGCCGGGGAGCTGCCATGGCAGTAGTAGCCTGTCCAGTAGTGATCCTCCCGGTCCGCATAGGAGAAGAAATCCCCACTCAGCACTGGGAACCCAGGTGGCTTCATCCCCGGCACGATGCCCACCTTCTTGTACAGAGCGTCAAAGTAGTCAGAGAGTGTCCCAAACTGTGCCTGCAGGATGGCACACGCAGCTCTGAGTACGCCGGGGAGCTGCCATGGCACTCGTGACCAGGGGCTCCCACCATACCTTGTGGCACTGCTCTCCTCCTGACTGGGCTCTGCATGTGGCCTTCCCACAAGCTCTTTGTGTGGGGCCCTGCTCCCCCCAGCCCTCTGCGCTGCCCCAGACCTCCCTGCACATACCTGGACATGGAGGTTGGGCCGGGAGTTGAGGAAGTCAAAGATGCGCTGGTAGTTGAGGAACTGAGCATCCCACTCCTGTGGCTTGTCGTAGCGGAAATCATCTCCCAGGGGCACCAGCAGCACCTTGCTGCGGTACAGCTTGGACTTCTTGCGGTACTGGTCCAGCAGCAGCTGGGATCTGCCAAGGGGGGCTTAGGGCATGAGGCTGGCTCCTGGACAGGGCCGTGGGGCTCAGAGCTGCTTGCCCCTGCCCCGGGAACTCACCGCTCTGCCACGTTGGCATCAGTGATGGCTCGGGGAGGCACCTTCCACGGGCAGTTGATCCGGCCACCCGGCAGGCGCTTGAAGTCAAACTGGCAACAGATCTTGGGGTCTGGCCCACAGGTGTGCGGTACGTCGTAGCTGTAGAAGGGCATCATGTGGCAGAAGATGTCGGTGCTGGCATCTGGGTCTGTGGGGCCAAGGACAGATGATCACCAGCAATGGCCCTCCTTTGCCTATCCCCAAGCAGGTGTGCCCACAGGCACGTGGGCGTGGGGATCACTGCTGGGGCAGAGCAGATCTGGCACATAGGCTCATGCTCTTGGAGCCCAGAGAGCACCACAGCCTCCCCTGGAGCACTGGGCACAGAGTGGAGTCACCCTGCGGCTGTCCTGCAGGGCAAAACCACTGCCGGGCAGAGCCATCGCCTCCTGGTGCTCAGCTCGCCATCCACACAGGAACATGGTTGGTAGCTGTTCCCTGCCACCACCTGCCCTGGCAGGGCCCCCTCTGCAGTCCCCTCCCCAGCAGCCCCTCACCCCATGTCTGTCTCCACATGAACTCCAGGTTCTGGGTGGCAGCAAAGTGCTTCTTGATGGCATAGTGCACGCGCTGGATGAGCATGCCCGTCAGGTTGGAGCGCTTTAGCAGGTAGGGCATGGTGGAGCTGTGCCCAAAGGGGTCGACGGCCCAGCCCGACCGAGGCGTCACACCTGGGGGCACAGAGACCTGTCAGCCCCACACTGGGCCCAGCAGCACCTCCCATGAGCAGGCTCCTGCCAGGGAAGGGTATGCCTGCTGGTGCATGAAGCAGGACCCCACCAGCATCCTGCCCCTCCTGCCCGGCATCCCACCCAGTTCTCACCAATGTTCTTCTCCAGCCACTGGTGCCCCTCGATCAGCTGGTCGATCATGGCAAAGTAGTGGGAATTGGCCTCATCAGGCATCACCCAGCCACCTGTCACCATCTCCAGCTGCCCGTTGCCAACCAGCCTGCAAGGGGGACACACGAGATGTGATCAGAGCCCTATGGCAAGCTGTGTGTCCGTGGCAAAGCCTCCCCCCGTCATGGAGACACCTAGGTCCAGCCGCAGCCTCTGCAACCACCGGCTGCTGTGCAGCACTCACATTGTCCCCACGCACAGCCCCAGACAGACGTCCCTCCACAGCATCACGCTGGCCGAGGCCCCAGCCTCACACAGGCCAATGCCTTCTGCTGTGCCCTGTAGCCCATGTTCCCTGTGTCCTTTACCCCCAGCCCTCCCAGGGCAGGGGGAATGACAGGGGGGCCCTCTCCCACCACACAGTCCTGCTCTCCAGGTCTCCCACCCCCTGAGGGTGCCCTGGGCCTTGCAAGGCGCTGGCCCCACTCAGGCTCTGCAGCAGTGCTTGGGGTTACAGCAATAAGAGGGAGTTTCCCAGCCCCATGAGCACAGGGAGCAGCGCAGGGTGAGATCTGCCTCCCACAGCCCCTCAGGCCCCTGCTGCAGAGGCCCCAGTGCTTGCAGCACCCTGGCTCTCACTGCACGCTGCTGTGGTTTTGACACCTCAAAGCCCTAAGAGGTTGCTGGCAGTGCCAGGGCACCCCATGGCGAAGAGTGCAGAGCCCACAGATGCTGCACTGCAGCAAGGGCAGCCTTCGTCTCCCCAGGGCCCTTCCCTCACGCACCCTGTGCTCACAGTCGGCATGCCTCCTGCAGTGCCCTGCCTCCGGGCAGAGACCGTGCTGGGCACTGGGGCCAGGCGGGCAGCCCTACCTCCGCACCGCAGCCTGCTTCTGGGCACTGATGTTGTCCCACCACTTGGAAAAGAAGGAGATCTCGGACCAGATGAAGCGCCGGCGTGGGTCCTCCTGCATCTTCAGCACCATGCTGTTGAGGATGTGCTGCGTCTGGTCATAGTAGTACTTGTCAAAGGTCTTGATCCAGCCTGCCAGCACACGTGGAGCGTCACTGTGGAGGGCCCAGCCCTTCTCTGCCAGTAGTGCGGGGTGGCAGGGTCTGGGCTAGCCGTTCCCCTCCCCTGCCTGCCTTTGCCTGCCACTCACCTGGGTCGTTGTGGGAGTGTGGCACCACAAACACCTGCAGGGGCTCAGCATCCCACTCATTGGGCTCATAAGTGATATCGAAGCCCTGCTTCCACACGCCACCATCCTGGTTGTCAAAGGGCAGCAGGGAGTACACAGCCAGCATCTGCCAGTTGGGAGACAGGACTCAGGGCAGACACCAGATTGAGAAACCCCCAACCAAGTAGGGCCAGGACCCCACGGACGCCCTGGTATGGACACCCTCACGCTAGCAGAGATGGGCCCTGAGCCGCTGGGCCGAGATGCTGACCCCTCACCTGCAGGTCTGGGCTCTGGCCCTTGCCCGTCAGGGCAAACTGGCAGTCCTGTGGGGAGATGGAGAGGAAGCTCGGGCGACTCTCAGGGGGCAGCACCCAGGAGCCATTGGGCATGTGGCGGGGCGATGCCGGCTGCCCCTCTGCGTGGGCCGTCAGCTCCAGCACTGAGTCCTTGATGTGGCTGATGATCTCGTGGTTCTCCTCCAGCAGCTGCTCCAGCTGCTCAATGCGGTTCTGCAGCACCGAGATCTGACTCTGGGGACACAGATGCCACAGTGAGAGCCTCTGGTGCCCTTTGCCAGGCGGGTCCCGTCCCCCACATGCACTGACACCAGCAGGAAACAAGTCCCGGCCCAGGCAACCAAATAGCCTCAGGCTGTGCCAGCTGGCCCCCACTAGGCCTGGCCTGCTTGCCCACTCTCCTGTCCCCACA